AGAGTATGTGAGACGAAGCTTCTCCATCCTTGCCTCCAAGGAGCATCCCTGGCTGCAACTTTTCCAAGACATATTTGTTAGTCTTTCTGGCAGTTCATGGCATAGTCAGCACTCTTCTCCAACACTGCAACTCCAAGGAATCGACTCTCCTTCTATCATCCTTATTCATAGCAAGGAACTGAAGAGATCATGGTTTGGATGAGGTGTACTTTAGTCTTCACAAACTGACATCATTAATCCTCAGTACTTTGGAGAGGTCTCTGACAGCAACTTTCCCAGTGTAATATATTTTTGATTTCCTGACTGCCAAGAGTGTTGATTGTGAATCTAAACAAGATGAAATATTTGATAATTCTCTATCATGATGTTGCCAGTTAGTGAGGATATTTTTTAAAAAAATATTGAGATATAACCCATACTGAAGGCTGTACCTTTCAAATCCTCCTTACTTTCAACAATGTTTTATCGTCTGTGTAACACAGGTTGTTGGTGAGTCTTCTTCCTGCCACATTCTTCTTAATATAGTCTAGCTTTTCAAATTCTTTGTTTTGAATATCTGTGGAGACAGGATATATCTCTAACACATATATTTCCTGATTTTAAACCAGGTGGCAAAGTGGGTTGTGGTGTTGGAGAAGAGTACTGAATAGCCCATGGACTGCCAAAAGAAACTCTGGTGATGTAGTGATAAGGTTTGTGTGGCCAGCCCAAAGTCAGGAGATCCGACTCCACCAGCTGCTCTAAAGGAAAAAGATGAGCAGTCTCTTCCCGTGTGATTAACAGCCTCTGAAAGCCGGCTGGAGGGTCAGCTATGAGTCAGCTCTGTCTCAACAGCAACAAGAGATAAAAGAGGAAGAAAGCAGAAAATGAGTGACAGCAGTGGAGTGCTTTTATGCTGACTTGTAGAAAAAAACTGTTGATTCTTTACCAGTTGCAGTTTTAGCTTGACTTCATTCTTCCCAACTTCTAGGAGAATGGCTCAAAATAACCAAGTCTTAGAGGATGTTCAACAAGGGTGCTCCTTAGAGGCAAGGATGGTGCAATTTTGTCTCCTATACTTTGGGAATGTTGTCAGAAGGAGCCAGTCCTTGGGAAAAGACATCATGTTGGTGTTAGAAAAAAGGTGAAAGTGTTAGAAAAAGAGTAAGATCCTTAATAAGATGAATTAACACAGTGACTGTAACTGTGCGCTCGAGCATATCAGAGATAGTGTGGAAGATGCAGGATAGAGCAAAGTTCAGATCTGTTGTTCATAGGGTCACTTGAATCATAGTAGACTTAATGGCAAATAACAACAATTATAATTATCCCTTCTTATGGCAATATTCAATCTAGAGCAAGACCCTCATTTCCTTGAACTTTCCCTCAAATTACCTAACACAGGCATGCATTTAGAGTCCATCAGCTGGGCAATCTCCTCTAACTGCCTCTGAAAACCCGCTGGAGGGTCAGCTATGGGTCAGTTCAGACTTGATAGAGCACACAACAACAACAGCAGCAACTCCAGATACCTAGCACAAGTCTAAATGTTCTAATACTTTCTCAGACACTTTAAGTTTTCCTGGCTACAAATTCTCTCATTATAATAAGTCAATAAATCTTGGTTTAATTTGTTGTTGTTGTTGTTGTTATGTGCCGTCGAGTCGTTTGCGACTCATAGCGACCCTATGTACAACAGCCCTAAACCCTGCTCTATCCTGTGCCA